GATGAAAGTGCTCCTCATCATAGGTTTGATGAGGAAGACAATGCTGTAAGCTAGGCTCCTCGTACATCTGTTGGAGTTTTGTACACTGATAAAAAGCTTTCATCAAACACCAAATGATGGAATATCTCAGTGTCTTGATGTTATTCTAAAAAAATAATCAGTCCACAAACCCCCTCAGGAGCAGCTCTTTTTTTTTGTACAGTACATTAACAAGGTCATTGAAAAGTTTCGCCACATACTATTAAAATGTTCCACATTATCTAAGTACCTGACCTGTCCCTATGTACGCACATAGGTACGAGTGAGTTCACATGATTTTTTCCAGCATTTCATCACCTCATAGGAGATATTCACAATTCATTTTGAGGGCTGAAAAAATTTAAGTTGTTAAAACAGTGCAACCAAATAAACTTTCTCCTTGGGAATCACAATAGAAAACCAAATTCTTTCTTACTTCTTTCAAAATTATTTTACTTATAGCCAATAGCAAATAGCAAAACTGCACCAATTCATCATCTGCATTGTAAAGTAGAAGAAACAAGCATTCGTACCCTGGATGTTTGACCTATTTTAGTTTTTCCTCTGAGCAGGCAGAAGACTTCATGACACTCACAGCCTCTGTAAGACTGTGTCCTTGAACAAGACATTAAAGCTGCCAATTGGCTGTAACTGTCAATATGATTACACACCATATGAGTGTAACAGTATGTTGCAGAAGCTCAAACAAACTCAGTTAGTTTTCCTCCCTCCATAGAAGTTTGATTTGAAGTTTCACGTGCAGTTATTTTCTCTTCAAATCTTTCAATAAAAACGTTTCGATTCAAAGTGAGCAGCAGGACAGAGCAAACTGTGAACCAGCCAGACGAGAAGCTTTATCTCTCCTGTTTATTGAGGGCAATAAGTCTGGGAGGTTTTAAAGCTTCGCACTTACTGCAGGTAAGAGTCACTGCCGAAGGAACCTGTCAAGGTAAAAAAAACAACAAAAACCCCCAAATTCTCTGTATCTGAATGAACGGCTGCTGTGGGCTTGAATTTAAGGGGTTCTGGGGGTTTTTTTAATCTCTGTTTTATCTGTCATGTGAAATCAATAAACAGATCAACAAATTTCAGGTCAAAATCTTTCTTACTTTTTGGTTTTATACTCGGCATTCAGGGATGATTTCTTAAGTCTGATCTTTATTTAGTAATCTTATAAACATACAGTAATGGGACATTCAGTTTATAATTTACTGCCTTAATTACTAATTTATGTGACGCTAATCCTGCTGTGACATCCTGCAGATGTGACTTTCTTTCATTTCATTCACTTACCTGAAGTAATTTCTATACATTGTATGTGAGGGCGTGTGATACTGGTACTATTTAGATTCAGAGATGGTTCTTTTTTCATTCATTTTGTTTCATTTTTAGAGAAAGATTTCTGTAAATAGGGATTTATACTTGATGAATTGTAGCAACATAGCTGTGTATATGGGTCCAGTCATTTATAAACACCAGTGATCTTTACATAAACAACAAAATAACAGTCTTTTCTAACAATACACTAATTAAAGATATATATTTTAAACTGACAAGCTAAGTCAGCTGTGTGTGTCAAAGGCTCATCACACACAGGCAGAGTAATCAGCAAAGTGTTGCATATATTACGCATACAAATGTAAAAGTTTACAAATGCATCTTATTGTATAAAGTTCTCACGTCTGTTTTCTGACTAAATATTTATATCATTAAACTAAAAGTCAAGTAATATAATTTTGATTGCCTCGGACATGAATAATAATTCTTTCAATGTATTCTGACTTGTCCAACGCAGATTACTGGTAAGTATTCCTCTATATCTGTTTAATTAAAAATAAGCAAAAAATTAATTGGATTAAATTTGACTCCTATTTTTAATAGTTTTCCATTTTTTTTCCATTGATTTAAAATTGTGTTGACCACATGAGGTTTTTAATGGTTGTTTATTTTTAGCTTTTAGAAGTGTACATTTCCATGTTGCAGCGTTCGCGCACAGTGATTGCCAACTGATGATGACATACTGCTGCTGGTGTTTCTTTGTGTGTCCAGATGAGGTGGTGTGTTGCTGTTCTCCTGGCAGTGCTGCAGCTGTGCAGCCCGGCGCTGCAGTCTGACCCGCTGCTCTACGTTTTCCAGCAGCAGGATGGGGAAGAAAAACCCAGCAGTCAGTCACATTATAATC